CTGCTCCTCCATTTGTCCAGCCTTTACATCAACCTCCGGTCAAAGACTCGTGGCCGTTCAGTCGGCCGTCAGCCTCATGTGTGTTTTTGTTTTGTTGTAAAATGCACTGTACATGCAGGGATGGTGTTTTTTTTTTCGAGTTCAATGTGTGTGTGTTTGTGAGTGTTTGTGTGTGTCCATCCCCAGAGTGGCATTGTTACATTGCCTCCACTGTCTATCCATCCCCAGAGCGGCATTGTTACATTGCCTCCACTGTCTAATGGCATCTCTGACTCCAGCCTCAAACCTGGCAACCTTGTTAGCCCCGTTTGCCCCCGGCAGCAGCAGCAGTAGCAGGCATGATGGTACTCACGCTGGCAGTGACCCCAGGAACGACGCGTCCACCCCCAGCAGCAGTCCACTCTGGCCCCATATCGACACAGGCCAGTGGAGGAAGCCATCTGTCTCGGCCACCTGTGTGGAAGACGTATAATTAGTTCACAGCCAGGAAAGTGTCGGAGAGAAAATAAGGATTTTTTTGGTTGTGAAGTTTTCACTTTTATCAACTTGTTTCTTCGTGATGGGACGTAAACACACAATGTTTTCTGACCAGTGGGTGAAGGTTTGATGTTTTACAGACTGCAGACTAAATCATACAGTATGAAAGGCTGTATTTACAGCCCTGGCTGTTCTCTCAGGTGTGCAGCCCTACAGTAGGCCAGAGTGAAACGCTACAATAGCACATTTCCAGAGAGAGCCGTAGACCAGAGACATTTTTCAAATAGGCATCAGAAAAAATGCAAAGCAAGTAAAAAATGCAAAGATATTAATTTTAGCGTCGTGGAAAAATAACTGCAGCAAATGGTCACACTTTTTTTATTCTGCACATCATGGAGCCCAGGAAGAGCAGCTGCTTCTCAGTGGCAGCTAATGAGGATCTGGGAGAGCAAACGACCAAGAGCGCCGTTTATTAACTTATATTAAAGAAATCTGCTGTTCACTCATCGAATTTCAAATCGACCCAAAAAATATCGTACGATACAGCATGCTGTATACAGCAGGATTTATTCTGCATGTAGCTTCCCCTTCTCCCCTGCAGGGGGTGTTATATCGCAGTGCTAACCTGGCCCATGAGTCGAGCATGCTGACTTCTTAATGATCCCAAGTAATTATGATCGTGACTTAGCTAATGAATGTAAAATATAAACCACAGAACAACCATCGTATTACACAGTACGGCTAGTCAAATATTAGCAAAAAATATTATTAATCAACTGCAAAAGTTTCATAGATCATCTACTACTGAATGAGTAGATATTAATAGTAACATGGCCGCCCTAACTGGAGCGCCACACTGCTAATGGTGGCTGTGAATTCATACATTATCAGTATCAACAATCATCAGAATTACAGGTATTGTTATTGCCAAAAGTCTAAGTCCTTCTATGTGATCAACGTTAGGATTTTTTTTAAAGCAGTATTATGGCAGCATATATATATCTGCAGTAAAAAAAATAAAGCTGAAAAAGGAAAACCCCACAGCCCACATTCACTTTGTTACAGTTCACTTAAATGATGTCGCATTTCACTGATGTAAAAGCTGCCAGATTTAAATTTAGCCTTCGTCATTTATCAAAGCAGCTCTGGCGCTCCAGCCTGAGAAAACCTGTGATTCCCACTGTGATTTATCTTCGGACTTCAGAAACAGATTTGAAGAAAGTCACTGGCTGCTGCCCATAAAATGTAGTATACCTTTTTTTTTTTTTAATTCATTACTGTAGCGTACTGTATTTCAGGCGGTATGTGCATTACTATGTATCACACATCTACAGCAGGGAGGCAGATACAATCAGCCATAGAGCTGAGAGAGAGCAGCTGGGCCTGTTTTATTTTCAACAAATAAAAGTTATATGAGATTGAAGAAAAGTTTTTAAAAAGAGCAAAAAAACAAAACAAAAAACCCATCACACTGCTCTGAGGATGGAGCCGTCGCTCCACATATGGACAAAACTGAATAAAGGATGGAGTCCATTTAAATGACACCATCCAGGGTGAGCACAACCGTCCTAAAAATGTCTTGAAGTCAATTCACAGTTACCTTTTAATGCGTTTAGCCTTTTCTACGCCATCTATTGGGGAAATGCGGACATTGCAAAATCAGGAGGGGTAGTCAGAAGAATAATCATGATATAAATTAATAATATAATTTGGACTAGTTTGACGGGCTGAAATAAAAGACAAAAATGGGCCACTTTCAGCCCCCGAGCCATAGTTTGCCCATGCCTGAATTGGAGTGTTAAAAACAAGCTCTGTTTGTCACTAACTGAGAAAAACATTGTACGCCACTTAGAAAACAAACTTTTTTTTTTTCCCACAAACCGTTGAGCACAGAAGGCTGCGTATTCTCACACCTGAACGTGAGAGACTTTGTGGATGTGACTCAGTATTCCAGGCACATCCGGGGTTGATACTCCTGCCTAGTTAGTGTCGCTACATCAAGATGAAGAAATGCTAATGCTCGCCCCCTACTGCCAATCAGCTCGGCGGTAAGAAACAAAACAAAACTTAGACGCTAAGTAAGGGTGGCAGATTCAGGGAAGTGTTTGTGTGGTGTCAGACAAAAAGGACGGGCAGTTAGACACAGATAAACTGTCCCTGCAAGCTGGGGTGAGAGAGAGAGAGGAAGGAAAAGGGAAGAGGAGTTATGGAGGGCGGGTGTAAGGAAAGGGAAGAGGGGAAAGGGATGGAAAAGGAAAAGAAGGAGGAAGAGACAGGGGAAAGAAAAGAAGGGAGGAGAGAAATGGGAAAGGAAGAAGGGGGGAAGGAAGGAGAGGAAGGGGACAGAGAGAGGAAAGGGGAGAGAAAAAGTCAAAGGGATGGAAATACAGTAAGAAGGTGGAATGTCAGGGGGGAGAAACGAGCAGGAAAAAAGGACAGGGGGAGAAAGGGGCAAGAAGGGAAGAGTGAGAGCCGAGGGGGAGGAAAGAAGGGAAAAGAAACAAGGATTAAGATTAACTTCCTGTTGAGACAACACCTTCAAGAACATCAGATAATATGAGTTAGAGTGGAATTAATTTTGATTATTTAAGGTTGATTTCACCCTGATGGTCCGATGCACACTCATCAGTCAAGTCATCAGTGCATACAGTAATTATCAGCTGTGAGTTAAGTAACGTGATGAGCGACACACGACTGCACCTGCTGCCGTTCGTCCTCACACCCTCACACACTCTGTTCAGGATAAAAAAATATATCACGTCGTCTGCCGAGAAGAAGAGGAAACAGTCGCTCCAAATAATTTCACAAAGAAATCTCGGTCGGAACAACAGCCTCAGTCTAAACGACAGAAAATCTCTCCCAGATGAACAAACAGGGATTTGACTCTGAGGCAGAAATGTTTGGTGAATCTCCTCCCAAAGATATTTAAAGATCGTTTTATTCCATTTGCTCCAGATTTGAAGAAAAACGAAACACGATCACATATTTAATTCTTGTTCGTCTTCCAACCCCCCCCCCCCCCCCCCCTTTTATCTCTTTTGAATAGTTGCACTTTAAATTAAACGTGCACAGACACTGTTCCTCTCAGCTCATACCCAAAGGGAAATGGTTTTGTCATCTAATAATAAATTAGAGGTAAAGTCGACACCAAGTGTTTAAATCTTCTTGTATAATCTGAAAACTAGGGCAGGAATTTTCTCCGCCAAAAGACAGATTTAGTTAAAGACAAAGAAAAGCACATTTTTCAGGTTTTCAGATTATCAGTGGATTATTGTGGGACTGTGAGCGTCAGCTGTAAAGACTGGAAAAATGTACAAGAGATTCCAGGCAGCTGACAACGACTCCTCAGTTATTGATTTAATATGATTTCTTTCTAGCTTTCTCTAAATCTCCTACACACACACACACACACACACAGCCATATATGGTTGTGTGTTTTTGTCAGGGCTTATTACCGCCCCCTTCATGCAGAATTAGCCCGTGGCAGTTGTGCAGCTCATCATGCTTTGACCTCAAATATCATTTTCTATAATAGTTTTTCTATTCGTCTCACCAACAGCCAGTCAATATTAATTACACGCCTTGACATTCTGCAAACACTGAGGTCTTAGAAAATTACAGATAATCTTCAATCAACAGGCGAGATAACGCTGACACTGCAAAAAAAAGTTTTTATATTTAGGATTTGTTTTCGTTTTTTGTGTGTGATCTTCTGCGGAAGAGAAGTCTGACATGTGAAAAGGGAAGTTCATTTTAAATTTATACTTATTACCCTGACAGTCAGATAAATGACTCTAAATTGCACCGAGCTCTGGAGGAACTGGAGCAGATAATTATCGCCCTTCGTGACGCCTGTATGACACTTCCTCTCGAGCGCAGCTCCGGTTCTCTCGACAGAAACTACAGAAGATTGATACGTTTCCACCACGGCTACATCATCCTTCCTCCATTGTTTCACCACAGATATGGAGCCGGCCGATCTTTGCTGCTCGACAGTGAAGAAAAGGCAGTTCATCGCTCACAGCGAGGGGGCGGGGGGTGTGAGGTGGAGCATGATAATCAGAACTCGTGGAGGTACGGTCGTCATTCAAAGCAGAGATTATTTAATCCGTCCATCTATCACGCAGCTGAGGACTCATATCACAGCATACAGAGCATGACGGCTGAACACAGGGCTCCTCACAGAGACCTGGAGGTTCCAGAGGCGAGAGGCATGCACGGACCTGCGGCAGCTCAGCTGAAGGCACGAGCTGGTGGAGTCAGGAGGTATCTGTGGTCTCCATGCACCACCTCAGCTGCACACACTGCCACCACCATCTGCATGCTAACTCACAGCACAACACAAATGAGGATCGATTGTGGTGGTAAAGGCCTAAACTGAGCAATCAGTTGATTTGTTGTTTGGACAATTTGGCAGAAAAACAGCAACAGATTTCATAGTCATGCAACAGATTCCAGAAGCCTTTGCACAGAGGCAGAAATAGACTCGTGTGCGAACCAAGAAACTGAGAGTTACCGTAAGTACCAGTACCAGTAAGGAAGCCAAAATGACAACATACTTGGCTTCAGGTTCTGGTATAAAAAAAAGCATCGACCTTTGGCTTGGTCTTTGCGTGCAAGAATGGGTCATGACATGCCCATCAGAGAGGCTCTCTTCAAAAAAAAAAAAAAAAAGCGATGTGGTAAAAATGATCTCCATGTGGGGAGGGGGCTTGAGTAAAAACCTGGGGAAGAAACCAAACTGAACCTTCAAAGCTATAAACATGAACATAACCAATGGGCTTCAAGATAGTAAATCACTGTTTCCTACAGAAAAAAACCAAACACTTTGAGGCTTTTATCTGCACAAATGAATATAGTACGACTGTGTAGCCCTAGCCTGGTCCTAACTGGTCTGCCTGCAGTCCAGATCGGTCTGCTGTTGAGAATCTCTGCTGAACTGTGAAGAGTAGAATCCGACAACCTGCTTAAATATTTACACCGACAGAACAAGAAAACATCAACAGTTCTCAATTCACTGACAGCTGGATCTGTAACAATCATGAACGCTTGGAAAGACTTTGTCCTGATTGTACTAATGCCATAAATTATCCTCCAACAGCCAATAATGCTACGTTGTTAGCAATCATGATGTGACATCGACTCGCTCCGTAAGCATCAGCCTGTGTCCGTAAACAAACTGGGAATCAGATCCGGCAACAGTTCTCGCGTTGGTTGTCTCCTTGTTGAGACATTAACGTGTCGACACCTGCATACATTAGTTCCACATGCGTACTTCATTAGACCTGACTGAAGTCTCCTCTGTCTGTTTGCAGACACAGGTTGTTATGTGGAAACACAACAGTGAGTCTTCTAATGTCCTGCTCACTCACTGGAAATGACAACACAATTACAGGAGCGGTCGTGTGCCTTCCAAACAGAAACGCTGACTTTTCAAATGGAGCCCAGAGTTTAGAGACAGTATCTCACGTTTGGGAAATAATTAAAAATAATTCAAGCTAAACTTGAGTAGAAACCGAGTTGATTTCTCTATTTGATGCCTGATGTTACCTAGAGAATGTCTCTATGACCACATTTGGTGAGTCTAAAATTACAGCATCCAGATCACTGGCACCGGTCCACGGTTCTGGTTTGTTACAGCAGAGGTTTGGTATGAGCCGTTTGGTTGGTGACATCACAGGGGAAGCATGGCTTCTGTTTTGTGATTTGTTTGGCAGAAGTGTTTATTGGTACATTAAGGGGAATCAGTTGTATCTTTGTCGACTTCCGAGACAAAAAGAAAGTCCCATTTTCAATGCTGGAAATGAATGATTTGCAAAAAACTAAAAACGAATCATCCAAAGTGAGGGGAAGCAAAATCGTCCTGCGACGAAGCCTGTGACACAGCTTTCAGGGTGAGATGGATAAGCCTGTTAAGAACGCACTCTGAAAGACGGGAAGAAAATATGGCACTTTGCTCACACTGCGTCTCAAGGGATATTCTCTCAATGAATTAATATTAAATCAGAGACTCAGAACCGAGTGGCGTTCACACCCGTAAAAATTGGCAAATTATGGCGACGGCGACGAGGCGCTCGATCAGAGGGGGCGTTAATAATGTACAATATGCTGCTGCCATGGCAGAGTAAATGATCATTACACAAAAGGCAGGGCGTGAAATAAAGGTCTGGAGCCAACACATCTGAGCAGAAACCCAAACATTAGTCATGGTTCCTTTAAAAACAACAACAATCGGTGGATTTTCTTCACTGGAAAATGCTTAACCTTAAAGGGAATGTATTCAACAATCCCTGGCTACTGTTTTCAAATGTAATCCTCCTACTCCCCTGAAGAGGGTGCTATAATCACATCTTACAAAACATCTGGCAAAAACACAAGAACGATTTACCAACGGTGACTAGTAATGAACAACTGAATTTGAAAAGAAAATATCCCACAAAATGGACACATACTTGAATCACTGACTGTCGTCCAACAGTTCCACGGAGACGTTTAACGTTAAATTTTAAATCAAAAAATTAAATGTACATATTTGGAGACATAAATGAAGGCTTAACAACTACTTTTTACAACTAAAATTCCATTCTCACACCAGGCATTTTTGATCGCAAATCAACTAAACTAAAATTCCATTCTAACACCAGGCATTTTTGATCGCAAATCAACATACTTTGAGTTGCGTTACTGCCACCTACTGGGTGTAATAATCAACTGCAAACATTTCAACTCAATCTTCCAGTTTCACTCGCATAAGAAACACGAAAATATGAATCAACAGAAACAGGTGCTGCTAATGAAGCCGTACTCTCTGTTACAGTTATAAATTACACAGACAATCATTCATTCTTGGCCTAATTTTTTTTTCTCACTCAAACACAAATGTTCAGTCTTTACACTCCGCTCTCGCTTTCTCTCTTGCTAGAGGCACGTGTTTAAACCTCCAAAACACTTCTATTAAAAGCTGACTTGAAAAAAGCAGAGGAGAGAAAATGTCAAAAACCTATCAACAAGCCTTTCAACCAGATTTTTTTTTTTAATTTTCTCAGAAACAGTTATTTTTTAAAGACTTGTCGACAAATATAAACCCCCACATCTGCCTGGTTCTTTTGGATTCACTTCAGTCCAGTTTTACAATCAACTCCCATTCAAACCTCACCTGCAGCAGTCTCTCTCTTTTTTTTTTGTTTTTTTTGTCAGCATCCTCACGACTGATAACAAGCGCCTTTGAAAAACTGAGACCCACACGGAGCTAAATTACAACTTCAAACCCCAATCAGTCACGGCTGCGACCCACACCAGCCGTACATCATGTTTAACTCGGATGCAGCCCATAGGCAGATGGAAATCTCGGACACAGGCATTCTTTGAGGTCTGGCGCGTCTCCACGCCTCTGTCTTCTTCACATACTTCGTGTGATTCCTGTTTGAACATGAACCACTGAGCAAGGTGCTCTCACTCACTTCTATCACGGTGGCTTTTAATATCATGGGAGCCAATGGTGTGGTTTCTCTCGTCCACTGTGCGTCGCGATGGGTAAAACGTGGATTTTATTTTTGAGGGTTTCTGCCCAGAACTAAAAAAAAAGTTGTGATTGGATCAAGTCGACAATGACGATCACGACGGTTAGTCGTTGGTTGCTACGATAACACTTAAGGTGGCAACGTGTTCGCGAATGGAGGTGATAATGCACAGCTTCAATCAGGACAAAAAAGAAAGACATTAAAGTGCTGCTCATCCACCCTTCAGGAGGTGACCGTGGATCAACAGTCACCGTTTGTACACAGACGGTGAACCGTGTGAACCGTGTGAACCGTGAGATTTCAACCTGCCATCAAAGTCTGCACTGGCTCCAAAGCAGCAGCTGTAGAACAGCATCAACTTTATCCACAATTCCATGATTTTGGGAGAAGTGCGCGCTCACGCCTCGGGTGATTCTCTGGGTAAATCCAGGAGGAGCGAGGAGAAAAAAAAGAGAAAAAGAGAGAGAAAAAAAAGATTTCAATTAATGAGTAAATAATAATTGAAGAAGGACAACAGCAGAGTTTCTCTGAGACTCAGGTAGAGGAGATCCGCTCCACTACCTCAGACTGATCATGTGCGGCGTTCAGGAGGAGAGGAGGAGGAGGAGGAGGAGGAGGAGGAGGAGGGAGACAAAACAGTCCACAGCCTGGAAGCCGAGTGACCCCAGTGTGTGTGTCAGTGAGAGAGAGAGAGAAACAGAGAGAGAGAGAGAGAGAGATGTGTGTGTGTGTGTGTGTGAAGAGGGTCGCACTCTGCTGGGGAGAGATCGCACAGCTCCCTCGTTCCTCTCCTCTCCTCTCTCCCCCTCTCCTCCCCCTCTCCTCCCCTCCACACTTCAGTGAGTGGGCTCTTAAACCAACAGCACCCACTGCAGTCAAAACCCGATCCCGCGTCTCCTCACCCACCAGCGGGGTAGGAAAGCTCACATATCCCTCCGCTGCTGCCAGCACTCTGGGGATATTTGACGCGTAACATCACAGCTGCCTCCGTGACGCGCAAATACTTTGAAAGTACTTCAATACATCGCGCAGCCTGCTGAGACTCGCAGCTCCTGCGGCCACCCAGGCGGGGACTGTTCACGGAGCCGAGACAATGCAGTAGAAAATTACACAGACAGAGAGAAAGAAAGTGAAACTGTGTCTGAGACACCGGATGAATTTCTAGATAACCTTATAATGTATAGAACTTATACAGAATTTAAATATATTTAATAGTACTGCAGATTTAACTATTTGGGGACTATATATATATATATATATATATATATAAGGAATATATAGGCTATATATATTTGTTGGCCAACCTGTAACTGAGCTGCAGACTGCATGAAGACCAGCATGGTCTCGTCTCTTCAAATAAAACAGCACAATATATGGCTCGTCCACTTGCTTGCTAACAGCAAAATCTAATATCACTGTCCTTTTTAACAACTTTTGATGGTAAAATGACAAATAAAAACCTGTTCTCTCTACATGTGAATATACAGACAGGAACATATGTGGACAGGAATAGAAGAAAGAGACAGTTTCAACTCAAGGGGATTTAATGAAGGGCTGATAGAAAACTTTTACGAGAGTAAACTTTTGTTTTTATATTTCTCCGTAAAATATCACAAAATCCGCTGTTATTTGTCTTTCTGCTCCAGCAATATACAGTAAAAAATGTCGTCATATTTTTGTCATATGGAGTATGTTGATATATTTGGATAAATCCTGAATATTCCTTAAAAATGACATCATCTCAGGTCCAGTCAGCTGTTTGTGTTTTGGTGGGATCGAGACTCTCAGACTCCAGGAAAGTAAAAAAAAAAAGTCATTTCTGCTGAGTCGAGGCAGGTAATTGAACGACATTATTTTCACTAATGATGCAGCAGAAAAATGAATTGAAGCTTTCATTAACTTCACCCTGGAGAAGTGGGAGTTTACAGTCGGCTCCTGTTCCACTCGTCTTGTTACGCTCCGTCAGTGTTTGATAAATCTATGCTGCGCCGCGAACATTTGACACAATGAGGAAAGTAATCGGAAAAATGCAGTTTGTGTATAATTATACTATTTATCACATTTTTTTTCATGGCTGGATTGAAACAGGATTCAATAATGAGTCATAGCTTTTCAAATGAAGTATAGTCGCAGACATCGGGCGGACCATGCATCACTGCCAACAAACGTCCAGACACTGTGGACACAGGCAACTGACGTTAAAAAATAAACACTTACACACATACACAAGCTAATATAGACTAACATTAAACACTTACACACATACACACATACACAAGCTAATATAGACTAATATACATAGATGTACTTCAAATATTAAACCAAATAAGGACAAAGAAAACTATTTTGAAAACAACAAAAACAAAGTGTGTTTCCAGAGCATATGAAGTGACTGCAACAACATCCACATCACGTGGACCATAGAAAACCACTGCAGAGCCATGAATGTGGACAGTGGGTTGGATTATGTAGGATAACATCTAGAATGAGTCTTGAGTCTTATTCCCTGGTCCCAAAAAAAAAACTCCACTTCAGATTGCATTTCTCCGTCCTGAGCTCCTGACTAAATGAGGGTGACGGCTGACAGATGACACTTGACTTGAAGCAATCTCCTCCATCTCTGAAAGCTTCACCTTATCGATGTGTTTTATGGCATTTACTGTGCAATTGCTTTCGCTTTTATGGTTGTTTTGCAGGAAAAGCAGCACAGTGACTAATGTTACTCATCTCAGTGAGAAGGAATGTGAGTCGATATCGCCCTGTCGTCCTCTGCCAGGGTCTCTACACAAGTGTAAATGGGCAAGAAATGATGCACTCCGCAGAGACCCCGCTCTGCTCAAGTGTAAATGGGCAAGAAATGATGCAGAATGTAGATTTCTCTGTGCTGACATCTATCATCCATCCATCCATCCATCCATCCACCCACCTATCATCCGGCCATCCACCTCTCATCCATCCATCCAACCTTCTTGGTTCCATCACCATCTCTCCTCAACACATGTCCAAGCCATCTAAATTCCATCTCTTTCTAACTCTATCTCCAAAAGTCCACCTTAACTATATATAGTCTGAAGTGTAAAAGTGTAATAAAATAAAGGAGCAGAGATGTAATGACTAAAACAGAGCCTGAGATTAGATTAGATTATAACATGTCACCACTGACTTCTCCTCAGTCACTTCTCATGGAACCATCTAGACCATCTCCACCAGTCCTGGTTAGCTTCATCTCTAATGTGAGTTTGAAAGAGCGCCACCTCCATTTCCACCTCTGAAGTCCCCACTTTGTGCAGGACCACCCGCGAGGAGATATTCCCTCGACCCGTCTCTCCTTCTGAAACAACTCCACTTCTTAGAAGGGGTTTTATCTACGGTCGTTCACCACAGGACAGATCGACTCTGCTGCTCAATGAATTCAGATGAGCCCCACGCTGGAGAACACTCACCCCCTCACCCACCTCCCCCGACTCCCCACCTCTGTTTTTAACAAAGTGCTTGGGAGAGCTGGTGCTACTACTACACTTCTACCTGCGAGTCTAATGGCCCACAGACAGAAAAAAAAAAAGAAACAAACCCATCAGCAGCTCCAAGGACTAGGGTATAAACAGTGTGTTGTGCTGCTTTTAGCCGCTGTACATGAGAAACAGTGAATTTAATCAAGCCGACTGACCTTTGCGCCGGCGTTATCAAATATTCATCGATGCCGAACGTATTACAGGATGCATACTATATTCACATCCATTCTTTATAAGGAATAAAGTGATCCTGGAGAAGTTTGATTAATACTAGATGAGTGTGAGGACACCGTGATCCTGTTGGATCTGATTTAAATTCTCCCCTGTCACTCAGCTACTTCCACAGAATTTTCTTTCGTCTGCAAAAACCTGGCAATGGGCAACTGTTGACTGAAGCTCCTGACGGCCGTGTGAGGACCATCCCCAGCAGCAGCAGCAGCAGCAGCAGCAGCAGCAGCAGCAGCAGCAGCAGCAGGTGGCCCTATTTGATTTGCAATATGCACGTGTTTCCCTGCTGCTCCTGTTTGCACTGACAGCTTGATTACACCTTTTATCACGGAGCACGTTTAAAGGATAATTCTACAATTTTTCAGCCTGATGGGTTTCTCACACCATTGTTTCCTGTATGAGTTACAAGCCAACGTTGCATTTATTACGTCTACTGTAGACACTCGGGGGGAAACGCAGCTGCTGGATATGAAGGATGTCAGGGCGTTGACTGACGACCATTACATCCATCATTCCACATTTATTATTCTAATAATGTGAAGCCGAGCTTCTCTGGAGTCGTATTATATATATTTTTTGCAATATTTTTTGAATTATATTGTAATCTAAGTTATATTCACAGTATTTGTGGGATATTTTTGAAAATCTTATTTCTCAAATATTTAAATTTTTTTTTGAAAGTGTGGTAACAATTGGAAAATCACTCAGAAAGTCACGACGGTGCAGCCTTTAAAAAGGCTCAGAGGAGATAAGCTTCAAGTTTATTGAGAAATGAAATCGTGCTTTTCTTCTAAATTTTTTTTTTTTTTAATTTGTTCTTTTCTTCTTAATTTTTTTTTAAACTAATAAAATGTAGGAAAGGAGCAGACATGGGTGTACACCAGTAGATGTGTTCAGGCAGGACGCCACCGAAGGCCTCGGTGAGAGCGGCGTACACCTTACATTCATTATTTAGGCACCGTTGCCGTTGACTGTTCATCAGTGCCGTCCTCTCCGCTCCCCGGCGGTGGTTTTCCCACGAGCATGTTATTTTTTGGTGAACAACTTTCAGGCTCCATGGTCATTACTCTCACAGAATATCCTCGAGTCTCTGCCGCCCAGGATCGGTCCAAGTCCACCAGGCCCATACACTGTTTCCCTGTGGAGACGGGGAAAAAAATGGAACCTTAAAAACAAAAACAAAAAATTCAAACTAATGCTGAAACACAACAAGGTTTTATTATGTTTTAAAATACTGTCGATGCAAATAACAGTGGCGCCCGCCCATGATTAATAAATAAATAATTACACTGACTATTTCAGCTGTTTATATTTCTCTGATGCCTTAAACACATTAACATAATCAACACTAATCTCTGAGGTGATTAAATATCAAAAGAATATTTTAGTTTTACTATGGCTTTCAACTATAAACTCTATACTAACTAAACAACATTTTTATCTTCTATCACTGCAGCGGAGACTGAGCCAATCCCATTAGTGATCAGCGAGGGCGGGGTTCCTCAAACAACCATTCACGCTCACATTCACACCTGTGGTCGGTCTGGAGTGAATGATTCAGCTCATCCTTATTGGACTGGAGAAAACCTACCACAAACAGACCAGTTAAACTTTTTTGCTGTAAGGCAAAAAGCCGCACCACTCCTACACCGTGCGGCCTACTCACTGGAAGTTAAACTTTGATTTAGCAGAAATGTCTTTCCAGATGTTTGTAAAAAAAAAACCCAAAACCAAGCAGCCGTGAAAACCTCCTCCTCCGGTAAAGTTTGGAGAAAGTTTAACAGACAGAAACTCTGTGTTTACTGCTTACGCCGATAAAGCTCCGTGTGAATCAGCAGATTAGTGGGTTCAGTCAGGCTCTAATTCAACTCCATTTATTGCACTTGTGCTGTATTGGTTCACGCTGATTAGCACGCTTTTCTCCCAGGATTCCCAGGCTTTAGAGGCGTTATGCAGTAGAGCAGAAGGGTGGCAGGTGCCAGGAACAGAGAACGCACGCTTCTGCTCCTCTGAGCTGCCAGACTGTCACAGTCCCAGACTCTGTGACG